TAAGCATGGGGGAGGCTGTTTTTAAAAAATAAAAATATTTTAATTTATATTTTTATTCCTCTTATGAATTAAAAATTAAACCTCTCTTTTCAAATCAAAAAAAATATTATATTAGTTTCTTTTAAATATATTCTTAAAATTTATGCAAATACTATTTTTAATCAAAGTACAAATACAATGTTTTATTTATATTTTGAAAATATTTTCATATTTTTTTTAAATACCAGTATTTGCATTAGTAAAATTTTTAAAATTATAAAAATATTTACATTTTAAAATTTATTTTAAATAATAAAAATAAATTTATGATTAAATAAAGGAAATTTATGCTACTAAAGTATTTTAATATAATATAAAATTTATAATGAAATACTTTCTAAAATTTTGATATATCTTATTCTTATATGCAAATATTTAAAATAAATTTAACATAGCCTAAGATGTAAGCAATTGAGTGTTCATAAAAAATGGGAGAGTTGGGAGAGAAAATCCTGGCTAAGCCACTGCAATTAAAACTTCAAAATATTATTGTTAATTTTATAGTATATAAATTATACATGTAATATCATTTTATTAGAAGTGATTATATATTCTTAAAATTTATGGAAATACTATTTTTAATCAAAGTACAAATACAATGTATTATTTATATTTTGAAAATATTTTCATATTTTTTTAAAATACCAGTATTTGCATAAGAATTATTTAAATTTTATATAATTTTTTATACAATAAAATTTTTAAAATTATAATCTATATAAAATATTTACATTTTAATATTTATTTTAAATAATTAAAAAAAATTTACGATTAAATAAAGGAAATATATGCTATTAAAGTATTTTAATATAATAAATAAAATCTATAATGATGAAATACTTGCTAAAATTTTGTTATATCTTATTCTTATACGCAAATATTTAAAATAAATTTAACATATCCTAATTAAGTGTTCATAAAAAATGGTAGAGTTGGGAGAGAAAATCCTGGCTAAGCCACTGCAAAATATTATTGTTAATTTTCTAGTATATATATTATACATGTAATATCATTTTATTACAAGTGATTATCACAATGTAATTAATAGTGATGAAGATTTTATGATAGTGATTATGATACACTATCTGAATTAGATGATTTTCTTTAAAATTTGATAAAAAATAAGGTCACTGAATGGGAAAAGAATTTTCCTAATCAAAGAATAAGAACTAGTCAAGAAAATTAGTTATTTATCTGCCAAGGAACTTAAGAATATGGGAAAGATTGTTTTGGCTTGTTCTTTTTAAATATATTCTTAAATTTATGCAATAAAAATTTTATTGTATAAAAAATTATATAAAATTTAAATAATTCTTATACAAATATTGGTATTAAAAAAAAATTAGAAAATATTTTTAAAATATAAATAATCCATTGTATTTGTTGTACTTTGATTAAAAATAGTATTTGCATAAATTTAAGAATATATTTAAAAAGAACATGCCAAAACAATCTTTCTCATATTCTTAAGTTCCTGGCAGATAAATAACTAAATTTTCTTGACTAGTTCTTATTCTTTGATTAGGAAAATTTTTTTCCCATTTAGTAACCTTATTTTTTATCAAATTTTAAAGTAAATCATCTAATTCAGATAGTGTATCATAATCACTATCATAAAATCTTCATCACTATTAATTACATTGCCATAATTACTAACAATAATATTTTGAAGTTTTAATTGCAGTGGCTTAGCCAGGAATTTCAGGTTATTTACGACAAACTACGAGCAAGGAAATCACAACATCATCTTCAAAAACGAAACCACCTTGAGCAAAGAAAAGAGAATCTCCTTTTTTAGGTAAAATTTTCTATATTATAAAATTTATTATATTATATTTTTTATATGGCTACAAATGCATATGTGTTGTAACCCGATAATCATCAACTCTTGAAGTATAAATATTTATTATATTTTCTTATAATTCATATCTTTGTCTCTTTTTTTCTATTTCTACCTTCTTATTTTCATTCTTTTTTTCATTTCTTTGCTCCCCTAAAATCCATCTCCTACCTTCACGCGGTGGGGAGTGAACAGTAATTCTGACTAACAGGAGCTCTGGTAAATAATGTTAGTATTTAGGGTGCTAATAAGAGATATTGTTTCATTTTTGTAATTTAAAATATAAATTTCGAAATCACATCTCATAAAAAGGAAAATGTCTGATTCATCCATCATCAAATAAAGGTAAAATATATTATTCATCAATCATTAAATAAAAAAGACAATCCCTCTCTCTTAGTCTTAATGGGTTGGAATTGGCCTGAAGGAGGAGGGGGAGGGGTAAAAAGAATTATCGTAAAAGAACGAATAAAATTCTCATCCCCGTCATTTTTGACGGGTTATCAACTAGTATATAAATCATTTCGAATAATACGAATATCTTTCCTCATTATTCATATTCGATTCGAATTTTCGAATCGAATAATTATGCTTCGTATTCGTAAAATACGAATCGAATCGAATTTCGAATAACAAATAATTCGTTTTAGGCTTAGGTCTAATGAACCCCAAGCAGTCACAAAATGCTTATATCTTAAAAACTACTCAACCGATAAATATCAAATTTTGAATATAGATTTAAAGATCCGTTTTTATACAATATCTTTTCTAGCATGCTTGTTTCATATATACCCGACCGAAGTATTGAAGGGCTAATTGACCGATTGTAAAGGTATTTCCAAAAGAATATTTAAAAGAGAAATTTTATGATATTTTAAATGATTAGTGTTAGCTTAAGGAAAATATAAGAACAATCATATGCCATAAAGAATACCTATTGCTAAAAACTTTTATTTTTGTCCATTTACGTCAAAAAAATTCAAAAAACTTTAAAAATAACTATTATGACAATTGTCACTTATCTAGGGTACATCTTCACTATTTAATTAAACATGTTAGAAATATTTATTTTTACCCATTTACGTCAAAAAATTTTAAAAATAACGATAATGATAATTGTCACTTATCAATGGTACATCTTCACTAAATTTTTAATTAAACATGTTTGCAATACTTATTTTTGTCAAGTGTCAAAAAAATTAAATACGTTTAAAAATACCGATATAATTATCATATTTCCAAAGAACATCTTCATTTAAATTATAATCATCTTTATAATATATTACACTCTTATGACAAAGAATTTCAAAAATGTTTAAAAAAATGAATATGGCAATCACATTAAAATATTAACCTTAAAACGATCGTATAAAATAACATAAAAAAGTTTAATATAAATATTTAAATTATTTAGAAAAAACTACCTCATTTAACAGCCTTAAAAATTAGATAATTTTATAAAAATGATAAAAATAAATTAATGATTTCACCTAAAAGATTGTTTATTTATAATAAAATTCAAGAGATTTAAAATTCAATCAAAAATTATTTTCATAAATATTTTGAAAATCACTTAATGTTATTGTAATTATTTTTTTTTATTAAAAAACATCATATCATTTTTATAATATAATATAAATTTCATTTCATATAAATAAAAAATATTAAATCAAATCATTTGTTTTTTTGTTGATAATAAAATATTATAAAAAAAAGTTATTTTACTAAAATAACACGAATTTGAGATTTTTATTAAAAATTTTGGCTCAAAATTACACTCGAACCAACTCCTGAGCCGGCTTGAGTTTGAGCCTAATTTTCAGCTCCGACCTCGAGGTTGAAGCCAAAATTTTCGGCTCAGACCTCAAGGTTAAAGCCAAAATTTTTAGCTCCGACCTCTAGGTTTAAGCCACATTTTCAGCTCCGACCTCGAGGTTTAAGCCAAAATTTTCAGTTCCGACCTCAAGGTTTAAGTCAAATTTTCGATTCCGAACTCAAAGTTTAATCCAAATTTTCAGCTCCGACCTCGAGGTTTAAGCCAAAATTTTCGGCTACGACCTCGAGGTTTGAGCCAATTTTTCGCCTCAAAAACTGGCTGAGTTTACGGCTGAGCCAGTCTACACCAAATTCTTCAAAAATTTTATTAAAATTATTTATAAATAATAATATGCCTTTTAAAATTATTAATTCAAATGATTTTAAAAATTTTATAAGTGATCTTGATTGTTCTGTAAAATCAATATGCTCCAATACTCTTAAATTGCACATGTATAATATATTTGCAGAAAAAGAACAATTGGTAAAGGAAATAATATCTAAAAATAAAAGTCAGATTAATTTTTCATCTGACATTTGGACTAGCCAAACACAGGTTCCTTTTTTAGGGCTAACAGCCCATTTTATTGATCATAATTTTAAAATAAATAACATAATTTTGGATGTCAGTCCAATAAATGAAACACATTCAGGTGAAAATATATTTAAAGCCTTTATTAAAATAATTAAAAATTTAATTTAAGATAATGCAACTAATAATAAAACAATTATTGATACATTTTCTTTAAAATATCCATTAATAAAAAAAAATAGGACACATCCGATGCTTTGCCAAGCACTACTACCGATCTACAAGCTATTACTTTAATCATCAATGCATCAAACCCAGGCTGAGATAACAATTGCTGAACATAAAGCTATTATATTTAAAATCCTTATAGTATAGTAATAGAAAATTATTTACCTCAACATGTTATTAGCTATATTTAAACCTCTAGGATCAATAAAACCTAATCACTCCATAAGAGCCAAAGCTGAAAGACCAAAAACAATAAGGTCATAAATACGTTGGTTTTTTTATTATAAATATTTGATTTCCAACGTTTAATATACCCAATAATTAACTAAATAATTTTCCCTATATTTATAAAAAAACATTTATATTTATAAAAAAGGTGAAAACTCAAAATTATTTTCATAAAAATATAGAAAAATGTATATAATAAGCGAATTTAAAGACCTGCAATAAAACTTAGTGCGGAAAACTTCAATAGTGCACTCTCCCCATCTCACGCATACGGGAAATCTGGATATGTTGCCGTCAATTACCTTTTGATATGTAAATTCTTACATCTTATGGCTATAGATGTTGACAACAAAGTTTTTACATTATAAAAAGATATATCTTATAGGAGCAGCGATTGGAATACCATCTCTCTATTATCTAAGTCTTACACCAGCGGAAAAACGAAAAGCTATAGTTAACTATGGTGCTATTGTGCGGTTTTTTAGGTATCTTATATATTTTCAAACAATATAAAGATTCTAAGAACGTTTTCAATTGGTGCATTTATAAGTCTTCAATATAAAAGAAAGTTATTTTTTCTCAAAGAAGTATATTAATATTTATTTATATTTTTTTCTACAGAAACAAAATATTTAAGCTTGTACCAATTTAGAATATTACATTATATGATATAGCATTCATATAACGATATTAGAGCTAGCTTACATTACAATTATATTTGTTTTAATTTCAAACTATTGAATTTGCTTAAACGATATTTTCTCCATGGCTCAATTATTATCCATTAGAGTGAAATTAAAATCCATTTTTTTATTATTAAAGTTTTTGTTTATAAAATAATTATTAATTTTAAAAGAGTGTAACTTAGATTATCCTTGTTCATTAGAAAAGTTTTCAAAGTCATATTATTCTTATATTTTAAATATCTCTACCTTAAATTAAGATATCCTAAGTAAATAATTGATATAAATATATTTACTATAAACGGAGATATATCACTTGGTAAATTAGACATATAAGGAAATAGGTAGTGTTGTTAAAAAGCTCGATTTGCTCTGATTTTTTCAAAACAGCCTGGTTAATATTTTAGCTAAAGTAATTATGTAAGCATTGAGATTTGGCAAATAAATGCCAATCCATTTCTACCAGCTATGAGAAAAATCTTTATACATAATGTTATTTTAGTTATAATCTTAGTTGGGCTGTTTTTTAAAATCGACCCCAATCGGGCATTTTGACAACACTAGAAATAGGATGCTTAAGTAAATATAGTTTTGCACCTTAAAATTAATTAGAATATAATAACATACCTCACTTATGAATAAGTATAAAACAATATAAAGTTTGAGATGAACTCTTATTATTACTCTTTTCACTTACAATACCATTTGACATGATGTAAATATATAATGATAAATTAAAATTTAGAATTCATTAGCATATGAGAAGGCCATTAAAGATTGTCATCTATATGGAGCTAACATGATCTTGAGAGGATGCCTTGAAAATGGGGGCTTATACATTAAATTGGGTCAGGGATTGGTGGCCATGAATCACATATTGCCAAAAGAATACACTAACACATTGCAAAGTCTGCAAGATAAGGCATTAACTCAAAATGCCAAACAAGTTCAGCTATTATTACTTGATAATATTAACATGCTCTCTATAAAATGCCATTTTTAAAGTTTTTGATCAAGTGAATAAAAATTTTTTTATTTTGATGATTAATAATTTATATAAATCAGAATTTTATAAATATAATTCATAAGCTGCGATAATTTTAATGTATCAATAAAATAATTTAAACTTTTTTTAAATTCAGACAAAATGCAAATAAAAAAATTAATAAATCTGACTAAACTTGTATAAATTTATTCCAGTAATGATATGGGACTGGTATTAAAATTTATACAGTATATAATCCAGAAGAGCTGACCAAAGAACAATATTGTCATTTAACACAATTGTACTTTATATTCCCTTCCCATTCTTCCTTAATTAAAAAATAGTTAAAATGGATCCAAGCAATCAGCTTCTTTGAGATTATTACATTCATCATTTTTAATACATAAGAAGATCAAGGTGTTAGTCACCAGAGCCTAAATCAAGAAGATGAAATCAAAAAGTATTTAAATACTAAATTATACCAATCATTGAGTGAATATAATATATATTTGACAAGTGTGAAAATCATGAAAGCTTCCAAACTGCAAATTATCAAAAATTGTTTTCTGCACTAGCTTTTTTGAGCAGGCAGTTAGCAAATTTTTTCAATTTTCCCCTTTAGATGAAATTCTGATTTATGTTACTATATAACATCATAAACATATCTGACTAGACATTTTATTTTATTATTTAATGAGATATAAAAAATCTATAATTATTTTTGCCTTGTTTAATAAATATTAATTTATATTTTAAATATCTATTAATTAAAATAATAGACTGAAATGAGTTTTATTATTAAATATACAACAAAAAGGAGTAGACAAAGAATTTTATTTAAATTAATTTAACAACATATTGAACTCATAAACGGATAATTATTTAATCTATTGATGAAAAATACAATTTTTAATCTTCTTTGAGAATGCTCAAGTAAGATTTTTGATTAAATTTATGTAAAATTCTATGACAAAATCATTTTATCCAAATATTAGATGCTTCTATAAATTTCATTGTCTAGCATGATGAAATTTAAAGATCTTTATTCAATCTGTATATAACTTCGTTTTTCTTATTAAGTTTTTAATATTTAAAAAAATTTAGAATTACTAAAATGTTATTTCGGTAAAAATATGATATACACCAGAGAACTGCAGAAATATCATTTGCATGACCAGCCCAAATTAAAAAAACAATTATTTTGAAACATCCTGGGTTTTATTTTTAAAAAATATATTATATTTATTTTTAATTTTTATAGCTAATAAAATAATGGCGTTTAAAATGTGATACTGCCTTGTCCAGGTATTTTAAAAAAATTCTGGATCTACCAGATGTATTTAAAAAAAATTAAAATACGGCATAGCCTGTATAACCAGGCTTAGGGCCAGGCCTGTAGGTCTCTGACATATACTTTGATAATACATAAAAAATAGAATTAAAATTTACAAATGATTCCATTTGTTCCCTAACCTCATTAACCTCAATGGTGATACCTTTTTTAATATAAAGCAAAACCCAGTCCACTTTAGACTGGTAAGAATTTTTGCACAAGTGGCCTTACCCAATAAATTTCTAGCCAAGCCCAGCTTGGTATAAATTTTTTTATATGCCTGGTTAGGCTCGTCGGCTTTTTAGATATCTAATAATGTCATGAGGATTATAGGGTCTGCAAAACTCAACCTACCAACCAGTGGTTTGAGAAATAATTATTTCCTATTTTTAGGGTGGGTCGGAAATTAAAAATTTTTGTTTAATCATGTTTTATATTTATTATTTTTTACAAATTTAAATTTAATTGGTAATATAAATAAATAATGGTTTGATTACATCTTATTTCGGTTCCATGTCAATTCAGCGAAAATTTTATCGCGAAACACTTTTTCGCGAAACTTTTATCGCGAATGTCGTTTATCGCGAATGGATTTTATAGCGAAACTTTTATCGCGAATCCATAATAGCGAATACTATTCCGCGAATGCAATATCGCGAATTTTTTATAGCGAAACCTTTATCACGAAACCTTTATAGCGAAGACATTACCGCGAATACAATATAGCGAAACAAATATCGCGAATTTTTTATAGCGAAACTTTTACCGCGAAACCTTTAATGCGAATACATTACCGCGAAACTTTTATCGCGAATCAATAATCGCGAAAATTTTATAGCGAAACTTTTATCGCGAAACATTTTAAGCGAATACATTACCGCGAAACTTTTATCGCGAATCAATAATCGCGAAAATTTTATAGCGAAACCTTTAAAGCGAATACATTACCGCGAAACTTTAATCGCGAAAATTTTATAGCGAAATTATTATCGCGAAACCCAAATCGCGAAGACAATGTAGCGACAATTATTTCGCGAAACATATATCGCGAAGATATTATAGAGAATTTAATATCGCGGTAATTGCTAATAATGACTAATTTATTTTGAATCATTTTTTTATAATTATATTATTTGAATAATATTTTTTTAATTCACATAGTTTGTAATTTTCTTATAACCTTAAAAAATTTTTACAATGATTAATTAACTTAGACTGGTTTATGAAATTTGTTATTGAAATACACTTTTTTCGCTATCCTATCCTTTCCTTCGAAGTTCTTATTTTTTTATCAATATATTAATCATTGAGTTTATTAGTTAAATCTTGATATTTATTGGCGAAATTGATATCTGGGTAGCATTCCTATGTATTGTCTGATGACTTAATATTTATAAATTTATCAATTAATTTTGGCCAGGGTTAGCAAATCAGTCAAATGACCAGTCTAATGACTAGATTTTGACGGGTCAATTGAACGGGAGAATATTTGACCTGGTCAAGTGGTCATATATTCTATAAGATCTGAATATAAAAATATGTTTGAAAAAGAAAAAACGATATAAAAACATGTGAAATGTGATCACAATGCTTATTGAGTTCCTAATATTAAGGAGAGCATTTTAATCATAGTGAATTTAATGAAGTATGTAATATAATAAAAGAATTAGGCATACAAGGTGGTGATCAAAATATTTCAAGCTATATCATAAATTTCAGAAATAAAAGCGGCTTGTTTAATAGAAAATCATGGGGATAGCAGTAACTTCCATAAGAAACAATCAGATTTCAAACTCAAGCAGTGGAATTAGCTTTGACCACCATGGCCATTAAGAGAAGTGACATTACTAACAATTTCTTGATCTACTTCTTCTTCATAAAGTAATTGGTCTATTTGTGTCAATAATCTTACTAAAACAGAAATCGATTGAAGATTTAGACAAAAAGAAAATTGATTAAAAAATATTAAAGAAAATGATGATATTCAATATAAAATAATATTTATTTGATTTTAACTATATTTGATCGGTCAAATGCACAACCGTGGTTTTGGCAGTCAATATTCTTAAACAGTGTAGATGAATAAAGTCTACAACATTACTGTTTAGAATATCAATTTTGAATGGCAATTCAAAAATAAATTACATCTAAGTGAAATAAGGGATTTCCCCAATTTAAAATATTTATTAATTTTATTATTTTCAATCTTTATAGATATCTTTTTATCTTTTCTGTTTATTTGAAGGGGGGGGGGCGTGATAAAATTTTTAGTTTAATAACTCGGCATTAATTTAAATATAATATTTTGATATGGGTTCTTATTGAATCTTAAATAATTTTAAAATATAATAAAAAAAATAGCTACACTAAAAATTAACAAATAATTAATGACATATTTGATAAATTATAACTATTTTAAAAAAAAAGTATTGCCTAAATTTAAAAAAAAAAATTTTCCCGTCTGGCTGGTGCCATTCCTTTGGTTATAAATTATAAATATTTTCGCCATTCCTTTGGTTATAAATTATAAATATTTTCGCCATTCTTTCCTCTTTATTTCGGAGTCTTATAAAATATGTTATCAAGCAAAAATAAGGAGATCTTAACCTTTAAAAATTATTTGTTCCGCCTGGATAAAGTAGTCTCAGATACTAATTATTTTAGATGTATCAATCAGGATATTTTTAAATGTCCCGTACGACTCACAAAAAAAAATGGTAAGATAAAAGATAATAATGAAATACACAATCATCCAGAAAATCCAATCGAAATGGAAACCAAGAAAATAATCAATTCAATTAAAAATGAAGCTTTGAATAATACTATGGAAACTCCAAACTTTATTGTGGCGAAACACGTATCTCAATTAAGTGATTCTATATCAATGGCACTACCATCACCGAATCTTATGAAACGTATAATTCACCGAACGCGGAGTTCAAACAGTTTTGCACCTCCGAATCCTAGCAGCCTTATTGAGCTAGTAATTCCGCATGAATATTCAATTACGGATAAATATGAGGATTTCATACTTCATGATGATGGTCCGGTAAGATTTTCTATAAATTTTTTGAACAAATATAACTAAATCCTTCATTTTTGTTGCGATAAGCTGCCCGATAAGAAACACTATTATAATTGCTTATTTATTTATCATGTGTGTCAGGTTCCCGACCGTGTTATCATATTTGGAACAAGAAAAAATTTGGACTTCTTAGCTTCATGCGAACATTGGTTTTCTGATGGTACATTTAAATCGTCGCCACCTTTATTTATGCAAATTTATACAATTCATGGGATTAGAAATAATAATGTTTTACCTCTCATATATATATTGACCAATAGAAAGGATTATGAAACTTATAAAAGAATATTTACTATTATAAGTGACAACTTAATATCAACTCCAAAAAAAATTATGACGGATTTTGAAATATCCAGTGTAAAAGCTTTCAATGTAGTGTTTCCCAATTCGCAACACAAATGTTGCTATTTCCATTTTGGCCAATCCTTTTGGCGAAACATTCAAAAATATCCAGAAATATCGCATAAATATAAAACAGATGTAGAATTTAATATACAACTTAGAATGATGGTTTGTTTGGCGTTTGTGCCACCCTTAAATGTA